GGTGCGCTCCAGCGCCCTGCAGTGGGGCATGGGAAGGGAGGAGTGGGAGGCTGTGATGGGGGTGAGGCGGGCGGCAGGGTGCGGCGCCTCGCGCCGCCAGCCCCGCCCGCACCCCACCGGCTCTCACCCGAGGGCCTCGGCCGCCGCGGCCACCTCCCAGCCGTCGGACGTCACGGCCGTGAGCAGGTTGAGCAGGAACTGGACGTGGGTGCGGAAGAGGCGGGTGTCGATGGTGACGGCGTCCCCCACGACCAGCATGGCGCCCAGCGCGCCCAGCGTAGCGCGGCGCAGGCCCGCCACGTCCGCCGCGCTGAGCTGGCCGGCGGGTGCCAGGGAGGGGGGCAGGCTGAGGTGGCGCCAGGAAGCGTCGCGGACGGCTTCGTAGAAAGCGCGCACGGTGTCGCTGCTGGCGCCCACCAGCATCAGGCGGGAGTCACGCTCTATCAGGCCCACGACCAGCATGGCGCCCAGCGCGCCCAGCGTAGCGCGGCGCAGGCCCGCCACGTCCGCCGCGCTGAGCTGGCCGGCGGGTGCCAGGGAGGGGGGCAGGCTGAGGTGGCGCCAGGAAGCGTCGCGGACGGCTTCGTAGAAAGCGCGCACGGTGTCGCTGCTGGCGCCCACCAGCATCAGGCGGGAGTCACGCTCTATCAGGGACAGGATGACCAGCCTGAGGGCGTGAGGGGGGGTGGAGGGGGCCTCAGTGGAGGGGGCTGTGTGCTGGCAGCAGCAGGGCCGGACGATGTCCGCCGCCCACACCACCACGCGGGGCCAGACGGTGGCTGTGCTTCGATGAGCCTCGAGCGCAAGTGAGGAGCCAAACAGGCCCTGGACATCACCGCCATGACCCGCACCACAGAGCAGCAGGGGCGCAAGCGGCATACAGCGAGGAGGCCCACACCAGGCTGCTGCCCCTCCGCCTGGCCTGGCCCATACCAATGCCCAGTTCTGCACCTGAGCTGCATGGATGACGTGCACAGTAGGCCATAGGCACAGCTAGGGCCGCCCGTCAGGAAGCGCAGCACGTCCTCCCGCCTGCAAGGTGATTGAGGGGAAGGAGAGCAAATCTGTATTGCACCTTGGCAACGACAATGCCCGCCGGGTGCACGGCACGAGATCCCCCTCTAGTCGCATTATAGGCTCAGCTGGCCAAGCTTCTTTGCTCCGAATATGACGAACCTGCCCCCGCCGTTGCGTACCGGGTAGCATCCGAGAAGAAGGCTCGTGCCGCGGTCTGGTCCGCTAGCAGGCCCTGCCAGTACACCTCCTCCAGCCGCAGCCTTACAATCTTCTTGGACTTCGCTCGTCTTGTCTTGGATTTAGCTTTAGAGGAGCCATCGAACGTTGCTTGGTCCTGACGCTCCAGGAGGGCCATCCCCGCCCTGACCTAATTCAAGTGCGGGAGGGTTCTGTCACCAGGCAGGGCCGAGTTTCTGACTCCAACGATCTAGCCCTTTCGATGCGTGATAACTTCAAGCTGTGAGGTATGGAAACTTCTGAAATGCCGTGGATGCTCGGCTGTACAGATGTAATCAATCGCCGAAGTCCCGGACCCATGGCGCCCCGAGGTTGTTGGTTTTGCCACGTCAGATCTAGCATCGATGATAGCTGACTTAGACAGGGGGCATGCAGCGGCGATGACTTCTATAGTTTGGTTAGTCTTATTTCGCTTTCACCGTTTAATATGCCGGAATGGACACGGGGTTAGGTTTTAGTCGGTCTGCCACAAGATGATGCCTCTCCCGCAAGCTCCAGACATGCACAGGCCTGTACGCCACCAGGTTGAGGTCACCGCATCTCAAACAAGACAATGATCATTATTCGCGAAGCGTCTGCTGAGGGTTTACAAGTTTTCCGCTAATCGCAGACTTACAACGTCCAAGAACACCATGCTGAGCGTGCTATCCTCTCCACAATCTCTCATCCCCATGGGGACCGGACTCGAGGCGCAAGCATGGCATAGATCGAACCTCTGGATACCTCAACAAAATCTTCATTACGTTTCAAAATGACGCACGTTGGCAGCTTCGCCGGCAGATCGGGTGTCGTGTGCCCGGGCCGACCGGCTCCGTTCCAGGGCCTGCCGTCCAGCCCTCGCGGCGGGAGGCCCTCCATCAGACTGGGCGCTGGACCCAAGAAGCTGAATACGTTTGATGATAGCTGGCAGAAGCGGTGGTTTGGCGCAGGCTACTTCGCAGAGGAGAAGGATGTGAGCCCCAGCTCCATGTACCGGAAGATCGAGAAGAAGAAGGTCCTGTCCGGTGTCGAGAGGCTAGGGCTGCTCAGGTAGGCCCGGGTCCAGGGCAGAAAACCCTGATGGCTCTTGCGGAGACGGAAGGGGCCGGAACACAGGGGATATACCGACGCCGACGGTGTCCCGTTTCATGCTGATGCCTCGGGCCCAGATGTCATCCCTCTCACCCTTTTTCGCGGCCTTCCGACACCCACCGCCTCCCCCACATGGGCCTCTCTCGATGCACCCCCGCAGCAAGGCGGAAAAGGCGGGCCTGACCCTGACCAAGATCGAGCAGCTGGGCCTGCTGGGCGCGGCGGAGAACCTGGGCCTCCTGAGCCTGGCTGAGCGGCTGCTGGTGTCGGACCCCGGCCTCATCACCAGCGCATCCATCCCGGCCCTGGTGCTGTCCATCCTGGCCGCCGCGCTCATCCCCCACGACACGGCGCTGACTAGCATCATCAGCTACCTCATCTCCTCGCTGAGCCTGGGCGTCGCCGCGGTCCTTTTCATCACCGGGTTCGTGGTGAAGGGCCTGCAGGAGGAGGACGGCTGAGGCTTGGGCTCGGAACCGGCCGTCACACCGTGTGCCAGTTGTTGCGTCAAGGATCGCATGGCCTGGAGTTGTGCAGGCAGAGGCAGGAGTGGCCTCCATTCAGAGGCTTGCACAAGATTCTGTTGCATTGCCTGACGCTTTTTATCCCAACCAGTGCCTTCCAAGAAGCTTGCGCAGTTGCGACGAGAAGAATGCTCGAGTGTCAACACTGTAATTGTTAGGCATGTATTGCAGCAAGGGACCTTCAGATGGTGAAGTGATCATAGAAGGGACTGTGGAACTGCCCTGCCGGGAGATTCTGTCGAACCACCAATGCGCTGGTCAGCCCCGACTTTCCTTCATTCGGATGGCCACTGCGTCGACGCTGCTGCCAGAACTGGAGGTTCCCAGAGACTGCCCGCTGCGCAGGATGGCATGCAAGGGTGGACTGCGTCAGGATCGTATGTCTCAGCCCCAACTAAGGAACTGAGAAGAATACAACTTGACATTTCCGCGCCAGCCATCCTCCCCGCAGTGCATCCAAACCCTTCTCGCTCACTCCAGTGCAGCCTTGTATCGGTCCTCGCCCTGTCCTGGAGACTGAAGTTCATCGAAGAGGACCTGCAGCCGCTGCTTCTGGGCTCGGGCCAGCATCTGCATGGAGGGTGGCAGGGAGTACACTCAGCCATTTGGGTTCTTTCATGGAGATGGCCGACATGCAGCATGTCCTACCTCATTTCTAGCGAGCGCGCTGGAGGTGCCAAGTAAACCAGCGGTGAGTTCAGCAGGTATGTCTGGAGGACAGAGATGCATGGATCCACAACAGCCCGCAATGCATGGGTACACCACAGGATCTATGTCTGCACCAGCTCCGCCACTCCCAGCTCCTCATCATCCCTCTTTCTCGCACCTGGCTGTCCAGCCCGGCTCCAGCACGCAGTTTCTTCTCCAGCTCGCCATCTTGGACGGGGTTGTTGGTCGAGTTCTGTACCGCTTTGGCAAGGAAGTAGGGGACCGAGAGGCACGCCCCCACAAACAAGACCAGGGTGGGAGTCGACTCGCGGGTGGCCCTCACTAAGCGGTGCCAGGCTCTGCTGCTGCGCAGCACCATGAGGCAGCGACCACTGGGTTTTGAAGTCCAAGGGAGCGGAGGTGGGGTGGGATTCGAGCGCTGGGTGTCCGGTGTGGGTCGTGCAAAGCTGCACAACAGATCCTTGGGCAGCAGAGCCCAACCTGCTCAGTTGCTCTTTGCGGGCACAGGACTGAGTTTGAAGTCGACAACGTTCTGGTGGATATTCGAGAAGGAGTTGGGGCCGAGTCAAGAGCCTGAGGTGGAGACGTCGATCGGTATGCGAGCTTGATCGTCGTCTGCAGAGTTCTCAACCCTTCCACCCATGAGGAGAAAGCACACAGAGTTCCCTCTCATATTCCCAATCAGCTTCATCAAACTTGGGCACGGTGCATGCACATTCAACAATAGAATTTGCCATTGTGAAGCAAGCACACTCACCTGCTTCCTGGTGCACGCACGCAAGGCCTTGAGCTGCGCCTCGCACTTTGTCGTGTCGTGGTCGCGACTAGCTACGCAATTCAAGAGCTCAGCAGCCGCTATGGTGCAGACCGGATCAGGATCGGTCGAGGCCGAGTCAGGCATCGTTGGACCACAGGATTGATCACTCAGTCGTGGGGCCCTTGGGCAAAATGTTGGGAGCCTCTCGCAGAATACAGCGCGCCCTGCCCCGGGGAATGATATGGAAAGGAAGAAGCCTCTTCAAGATTATTCCCGATTCCCCGAAACGTGGTGTTGCAAGCGCCATACATTGTTTGGCTGCGAATATGAAGCGCATTCCAAGTAGGATTGGAAGGAGTACCACAGATCAGTGCAAAATTCAGTGTGCGTATATAGTCCTCTAATGCAGCCGCAATCCTTGCGGGGCCCCGGCCAGGCAACACCCACTCACACAGGGAGCATTCGTCCTCGGACCGTGCACGCCCTGAGGACCCACGTCCAGTGTGGCGCATCCAAGCAAACGCAGAATGTATGCAGGACCGATGGCACTGTGGGTCGAACTCTGCTCCGTCCATTCAGATCAGGACTTGAGGTGGCCGCCCACTGTCTTCCCAGCACTCCAGTGGCAGTTCGACACGCGGTAACCCTTCCCCTGAGCAGGTACCCCAGAGCAATGGAGCCGCTCAGAAGATGGTCTCCGCCCTTGCAGCAGCAGCGCTGGCGGTGCTGGCGGCGGACTCTTCCCGCCTCGTCCTCGCCCCGCCCCCCGCCACCGCCGGCCTCATCTCCACAGACCCGGTGAAGGACGCCAAAGCACTGTTGCGCTATGCGCTGCCCATCCACAACACCCCCATCAGGCAGGTGCAGGAGTCGCTGGAGAGCATCTCAGAGGCGCTGAGGATTCCTGGGGGCAAGGCCTTTGGGCCAATTGGACGGGCGGTCCGGAATGCAGCGTCCATACTGGACAGGGAGACAGGCACCATCACCAAGGCCCTCGTCAAGGAGCGCCAGAAGCAGGGCCAGGACGATCTGGTGCTGCTCAAGCAGGTGTGATGAGGGGAGAGGGGCTAGAGTTCAGCATTAGAGACATGGGACATGTGTGCAGGACTGAGCATGTGTCCGCATTGGATCAAAGGGAAGCTGTGAAGGGGAATTCTGGCGGCAGTACACCACAGCCATGTTGCGAACCCAGGTATTCACCCCCTTTTGAACGGCGCGCCGGCGTCCCTTCATGGTGGGCTACACCAAGGAACATCCACCCCTGCCGTCTCCCTGTCCTTCCTCCACCAGAAACTCTCTGAGCTGCAAGCCGTCCTTGGAAACAAGGACAAGAATGACATTCCGGTCCTGCAGCAGGAGTGCCTGAACTTAGTAGGAGACATAGAGGAGTCTATGGTCTCGGGCTACCCCTTTGAAGTACCCAAGGAGTATGCCAACCTCCCACAACTCAAGGCAAGCGTCACAGGGTCGTGGGGGATTGCGGCGAGGTCGAGACCTGCAGCGTTACAACCATGAACACGTGGGGACACTGAGGGCTCGCTGCTTGTGGAGACACCCGGTGCCCGGTGCCTCCCGGCACGCTGTCGGACAATGCGACCCCTGTACCCTGCATGATCACCTGCCTCAACGGCCACTCGACTTGCACAGGGTCGTGCCACGCTGCAAATGGATGTGAAGTTCTCCAGTCCCCGCGAGGACAACTCGACTGGAGGCAGGATGGTCATTGTCGTGGATGGCTTCAACGCCCCACTCAGGTATGAGATATTGGTGACAGGGGGGAGAGGGGTTAGGTGTCTCCAGGACACACACGGAGTATTATTGGGTGCTGAGGAGTTGCTGACGATTGCCATGTCAGCATGAGATTTCCTCATCGTAATTGCCTGGCTCTCTAGCATGGAACAAACTTGGCTCCCGCGGCCTGAGTGTGCCGGCAGCTCCCACGGCCTGAGTGTGCCGGCAGCTCCCACGCCAACCCTCCCATCCCCCTCCCCAGTGCGGGAACCTTTGTGGACCTGGCCCATAAGGGCTTCTATGATGGCATGCTCATCCAGCGGTCAGATGGCTTTGTTGTGCAGAGCGGGAAGCCGGAGTCAGGGGTGAGTCTCTGGGAACAACACGGGTCGCTGTGCCACTGCTGTGTGGTGATCTCAGAGGAGTCGGCACGTCATCCTGATTCTATGGGAATCGCCCCAGTGGTCCAGAGTATCAGGATGTCACTGACAAGGCACAGCTGATTGGGGTGTCGCAAGAAAGCTGCGTCTCCTTTCCAAGTCCCCTTCGGCTCATGAAGCTATTGGATCGGTCATTGCCTCTGATTGGTCGACGCTGACTTGCTCCCCCACCCCACCCCACCCCACCCCCCACCCCCGGAGTCTCACAACAGGAGGGATATGTTGAGAATGGGCAGCTGAGAACGGTGCCCTTTGAGGTCATGGTGCAGGGTGACAAGATCCCTGTCTACGAAGAGACCCTCGAGGACAATGGACGGTGCGTGCTATTGAGGATCTTGCTCCTAGGACTTGTTTGCATGGACACGTTTTGGGTGTGCCACAGGGCTTCACCTTGTTCCCAACTACGACAGGAAGGCCCACTTGCCCTCTGCCCTCTTTCACTGCAGGTTCAACGAGCAGCCAGTGCTCCCGTTCAACGCCTTTGGAACTTTGGCGCTGGCGCGCGCCGAGTTTGACACAAACTCCGCCTCATCTCAATTCTTCTTCCTGCTGAAGGTGGGCTGTGTCACAGCAGGGGCTGGCGTCGTGACATGTAGCGTCAGTCACGAACAAGTACATTGTCAGCAAGAGGATTAACCCGTTTCCATCTGCAACCCTTCGTGTGAAAGGAATCGGAGCTGACACCCACTGGATCCAATCTGCTGGATGGGCGGTATGCTGTGTTTGGATATGTGACGGAGGGAGCACCACTCCTGAAAGAGCTCCAGGTGGGTGGTGCCACCGCTGTTGGCAGGCTGCAACATGGACGGCGGGACTCTCAGCGCTGCACTGGCTTGCATACAGGGTGGCAATCGGTCACCATGGCATGGCTTGCTCATGACAACCCTGCACACACACACACACACACACGCCATGGCAGGTGGGGGACAAGATCGAGCGCATCAAGGTACTAGATGGACTCTCGAATCTGCAGGCGCCCAAAGCACCTGTGGATGCATGACTGGTTGTACTGATTCTTGAGAGCACGGGTAGCCCTGATTTCTTGGTTGAAACATTTTGGAAGACGAACATGAGAAGAAGTCTACGATTTGTTGCTGGTTGTTGGGAGTGTGAAGTCCTGTCGATGGTCTGGATGCAAGAAAGCTTGGTTTGGCCCCCTAACTCCCTCCCCCGGGGGGACTCGTGTGATGAACACTCCTGAGCGCGCACTCCGCACATCAGCCATCAAGTAATCCGATCGCGCATAAATTCATGTGCTGCTGCGTCCGGTCCTTGCATGCCGGCAGGTCGAAGTGAAGGGGGGTCCACGCGGAGGTGGTGCCCGGGAAGTCGCTGGTCACCAGAGTTGCCATCGCTGATAGCGCGATGCCGATCGGAGCCTTGATAACAGCATCAAGTAGTTCCGAAACACCAGAAAGCAGTCATGCGAACAGCCTCGAGGCGGGTGCGTTGGGGGTCAACCACCGTGCCATCGGAACATGTGCAGGCACGGCACCTCCCCTGAGACTCCTCCCCCTCCTCCCCATCCAGCCTTCCTTGTTGTGCTCCTGGTACTATGGATAACTATAGGATCCTATGTTGCGCAAAGGTGCGTGGGACCCTTCTGTAGGCGATGATGCACTGCTATTTCTTACCCAACAGCATGGACATAGTGGTGGCACACCTCCAAATTGCGCTAGAACCCCTTCACACCACTCTGCCGCCTCGGGACTCGACCTGGAACAGATGGCTGGTGGTGGGAGAGGGCAGCGCTGCATGCATCCTTGGTCTCGTCCTGGGGGGCACCCTCCTGGCTGCGCAGACCTGGTTTGCAGATGGCGTGCTGGAGTCCATTCTTTCTTTCAATTCATCCAGCTTCTTCACGTAAGGGGCGGGTATGGGCTCAGGCACAGGGACATGGGATGCAAATTGTATCGGGCCCTGCATCACCTACTTGGGCCTGGACTCAACAGCCAATGCCTGCCACATGACGCTGGCAAGTGCTTGGTCAAATTGGGCCCGTGTTTGCAACTGGATTACGGAGGAATTCTTCCCACACCTTGCTCAGCAACATCACAGGTCCTCTCCCTCCGCCAGGTTCCTCCTCCCTCCCATCATATTCTATGCCGGACTGTCTGTGCGCAAGCGCCACTTCTTCAAGGAGTTCCTGACCATCAGTGGCTTCGGCATTGCCGGCACCTATGCCTGTTTTGCCCTGCTCTCCCTGGGACTCTGGCTCTGCTTCCATGGACTCCTCACATTCAGGGTGAGTCCCAGTATGCTGTGCTTTGGCGATGTCCTTAGCCCAGCTTGTTGGCGCAGAAGAGGTTACGCCTGCTCCCCATGCATGCCGTGACACTCTAGCTTGACCCATGTCATATTGCGGGATGGGAATCTGCACTCCCTTGTGTCCACCACGTACAATTGCTGTCGGGATTTCAGGAGTGCCTGGGCCTGGCTGCCATCATGGCAGCTACAGATTCTGTAGCGACCCTCCAGGTGTGATTCCATGTGGGAGTTGGTTCAAACTGTTGCAATGGAAGGAGGACTCTTAGAGGTCACAGTGCAGTGGGTCTGGAGGAATCTCATGCTCTTGAGACAATGGCCGAGCTCTCCGCCCTCAATCCTCTCCCATCACGCAGGTTCTTGATAAGGAGCGGTATCCGCTGCTGTACTCGGTGGTTTTTGGTGAGGGCGTCCTGAATGATGCGACCTCCATTGTCCTGCTTTCCACCATCAAGGCAAGCCGACAGTGAGGCAATTGGCAAGCCACACGGAGATGCTGAGAGAACTTGCTCGCACTCATGCCTGCCTGGCCCACTCAGATTGTCTGTCTGCCATGCAAATTTGCAAGGGAGGGTGTGCTGATGACGCAACACGGTGCATGAACCTTGCCTCGGCTCTGGACATCCATACTCCGTCCCATACATGCAGGCGTGAGAAACCACTAGCCCTCCAACCCCCTTTCCCCCTCTCAGGATCTGGAGCTCCAGGGCACGGAGGACCTCACCGTCTCCATGGCTTTCACCATTTTTGGCACCTTTTTGTACCTTCTGCTGGCCTCGGCAGCCCTGGGTATCGTCCTGGGCCTCGTCACAGCCCTCTGCCTGCGCAGGGTCACCTTCCACGAGACCTCCCAGGTGGCGCCGCTGTCCAGATAGTTTTTTTTTGGGGGGGGGGAAGGGACTCACTCTCATCGCGCAGGTGTGCCTGCCGAGCGCCTAAGAAGGCCCTACGTGAATGCGTGTGTGTCAGCGGCCATCATTCACACACGTGGGATGTCACATGGCAGGAGGTGGCGTACATCGGCCTGATGGCATACCTTTCCTACCTGGTAGGGGAGGTGGCGGGCCTCAGCGGCATCGTGGCCCTCTTCGTGTCCGCCATCATCATCTCCCACTACGCCCTCCACAACATCTCCAAGCAGTCGAGGTGCGCACCAGAGGATCCTGGGGCAGCGACTACAGTGCTAGCATGTGCCCTCGTGGAGTGCATGGCTCCCCCCCGCTCTGTCAAGTGTTCCACAGGGCCACTCGTGAGGTGGCTCTGCCACCCTCTCTCACTGCTCGAGACACACCATGTCCAGGGCTTGCATTACCCCCTTTTTCATCCTTTCTCCCAGGATCACCACTGTGCATGCCTTTGCGACGCTGAGCTACGTGTCGGAGGGCATCATCTTCATCATCTGCGGCATGGACGCCGTGGACCCCGTCAAGTGGAGGGTGTGGGGGGGGCTCTTGGAGCGCTGGGCTTCCACTTGCAGCTCTGTTACTTTTGTGAAGGCCTCGTTCTCCCGTGTCCTGCACCGCTCAGCTTACCGGGGTGCAGGCACGGATTCTCTTCTTGCTGGTGGAACCACACCACCCCTGCCCTCCACTCCTTGGCAAAGTCCCCATTTGCTTTTGCCCCAAACCCCCCTCCCTCCTTAACGTTTTTTCACTCAGGCCACCAACGTGAGGCACCTGCTGTGGATGTTCTGGATCGTCATCCTCCTGCTCATGGCCTCGCGCGCCGCATTCGTGGGCCCCGTTGCCGCCCTGCACAACGCCTTCTCCGCCGTCCGCCTCTCCCTGCGCGAGTGCGTCGTCATTTGGTGGGCGGGCCTCATGCGCGGCGCCGTCAGCGTGGCCCTGGTGTACACACTGTTGGGGGGCGGAGGAAGGGAGGGCGATGCCACGCTCATCACCACCACCCTAGTGGTGGTCATCATCAGCATCCTGGGGTTTGGCGCGGCCACCAAGCCCCTTCTGGCCTTCCTCATGAGAGGTGTGGGAGTGCGGCGGTGGGTTGTTTCTGCGGGTGCCAAGCGGCGATGTGCAGGGAGATGCTCGAGGGAAGGCCTGGAAGGGAGAGCACAGGGAGGAGAGACCAAGGGTCGATGGCCAGCTGGGGAGGATATGGCTGGTGGAAAGTGGGTCGGACACATGAGGGGCCCGAACCTCAGGCAAGCCACAGACTCACTGCTTACCGACGGCCCCCATCAATAATCCTGCCGCACATGGTGCTACCCCTGGTCCAGACCATGTGGAGCAGCCGAGCAGCCCCCTGACCTCTGGCCTGGCCGTTGAAATGGCAGGCGCCGCCGGGTCCAAGGGGGGCAACGCACCTCCCGAGTCCTCTGCCCTCCTGCGCTGGGGATCCCGTGGTGAGCCCTCGAGACCATGGTGCTACAGCTGGGGGTGGTCAAGGGTGGAAGGGGAAGGAGGGTGTGTGGCTTGCCCTTGCCTGCAGGTCCACACCCAAGCACAGGCCTGGATTTGTGGGGCTATCCCGCCCGAGTCTCCCTCTCGACATCATGCCGGTACACTCCCATCCCGCAGGCGAGCCTGTGGCGGAGCCCCCGGTGGGGGAGGCTGCGGAGCCCAGTCGCACCTACAGGCCAGAGGGGGAGGACCAATATCTACGGAAGTCTGGCAGCCAGACGAGCGATGCAGGGAGTGCCCTCCCCGCCGCATGGGGGAACCTGACCTGGGGCCCGCCGGAACATAGTCCAGAGTCAGGTGGCGGGGTGGGTGGGGTGCTCCCTTCGGACTGGGATGTGTGCTTGAGGCGGCTGCCCAACCCTCGAGCGTGCTGCGTGCCACTTCACCTCCTCACGGCAGGAACAAACGGACCAAATCCTGATCACCTTTCCGCCTTTCCTCTTTCAGAGGTGCTGCTGCATGAACCTGCTCACATCGCCCGGCTGCCAGGGGACCTCGAAGCGCCTCCGAGCCCCCTGCCCGGCTCACTGGCGCAGACTGGGCAATCCACGGCGCTGGGCGCCGCGTTCCAGCTGGATGTGGCACATGGGGCCCAGCCTTCCGTCCCCGGCAGGGCAGGGTCCACGTGGGACGAGCGGGGATCTGCGCACGGCAGCGCCGCTGTCCCTTCAGGGACAGGCAAGAAGGTGCCGCAGCCGGGCCACCCCTCCCCTGCCAAGGCCTCCTCCGGACCTCTGGGAATGCGCGTGAATCGGTGAGAAGGGGGAGCCTGCCAGGACATTTCAAGCAGGGGGAAGGGGTGGAGGGTGAGCTCTCCAACCCTAGTGAGGCTGGGAACTCCTATGCTGCGCCTTTCCCAACAACAACTGCCACAGAGAGAGTTTGGGTTGACCGTGCAATAGAATTTTGTGCACCAGGGCATGCTGTGGCCCTGCATTCCCACATACGCTCAGGATCGAGCTCCCATGCACCTCCTGACTCGAGCAGGTGGTGGAAGGAGTTTGACGAGGGAACCATGCAACCGCGGTTCGGGGGCCCTCTCCACCAGCGCTAGCCTGCATCACCTCTCCTTCCTCCCCATGACCCCGCGCTATGCACAGCTTTTCTCTTGATAGTGATTTCCTAGGCATGCCCATATACATACAGCATGCAGGCACGGGCTCGCATGGCACTGCCATGACAGAGCGAACAAGCCGTGTGCAGGACAGGGGGAAGAGGGGGAGTTTGAAAGGGGACAGACATTGCTTGATGGCTGCGGTGGTGCTGATGCAGCACGGCGCATGTTGACTAATGCAAACAGTGGGGTGGGGGAAAGGAGACCACTCTCCATGACAGCGCATCATTTGCCCTAGACCACCTAGTGATCCTGGCTGGAGGTGCCAAAGATGCCCTTCATTCCTCGTCCCTGCGCCGCACAAAGGGGAAATTCTTGGTATGTGACACCAGACCGAGGTGTCAAGGCTTTCGTCGCAGGCGAGGGCACCTCACTCAGCCGAGCGACGGTCTCGTCCTCCCTGCAGCGGGCTTCGCACAGCGCCAAGTGTCGCAGCCTCTTCAGCAGCGACGCACGTCGACCCACCCACCCCAACCGTTCTGACGCTCTGCACATGCCCGCACCTCCTGTAGAGACCGGAAGATGGACTTGGAGTACCCCTCTGCACGAAACCGGTTGGTCTCCTCCTCAGGGATGCCCTCCGTGCGCAGCTTCTTGCTGGGGCTGCGAGGGGTGACACATTTGGAGAACCACAATCACTGAAGTCCTCCGATATTACATTGCTGGATCACGAGGTTAACGCGGGCTCCCGTCCCAACCCGTGTGCTCACAAGACTTCGGGGTTGGTCCAAAGGTGGCGCCCCATGGAGTAGGTCATCGCCCCGAGGGCCAGCGCAACGGGAAAGATGATGGGGTACCTGCAAGTGTCAGGTGATGGCACGTTGGTGCATATCGCGGCGTCGGGCAGCATCGGCAGGGTGACCCTGTCCCGGCTCCGCTAGGCACTCACACTTCGGGCTTCACCCAGCGGAAGGCATGTCCGGGAGCCATGACGTGCTCGAGGTGTGTGCAGCGCGTGTAACTGCTCCGGGTTCAACGATGTGTCGCTCGGGGACGGGCCAGAGTTGTCAAGGGAGTTGGTGACGTGCGAGTCGGGGTGTTCCGGCTTTCTATAGGTTTTACATTTCTCACAGTGCACTGATGGCAAGGCCGCCCATGGCGGCAGGTTTGCCCAGGGGTTGCTGCTGCGTGATGCAGTGCACATTCCCGCCCCCCAGAAGTATCTCGCGCGTGTACACCTGCACCACCTCCCTGTCTGGGAACACCTCCTGGAGCACCACCTTGGCCCTACAACGATGGTTTGTTTGGGAGGGGGTCCCACATGCTGGGGTGGCGGTCCCCCCACCCTTGCCATCCCAGCGGCAATGCTCTTCCTCACACCCCATGCACTCAAGGAACACAGCTCCCCCACCCTCAAGAGAGCGCCACGATCCCAGAAAGCAGCTCACCTTGCGTCGGCGTCTGGGATGCCCCACCCCGGCATGACCACGCCGCCGTTGCAGATGTAAAAGTTGATGTAGGCCCCTGCCAGCCGAGTGCCCGCCACTCGATCCATCTCCCCCGCCCCCGCTCTCTGAGCATTGCAGGGGGGATGAGCATGAGGGGCGACGCCCTGCCTGGCTCAAATGGACTGACACCGCCTCCCGCTGCCACCAGGCTCTGGGGGCTGGCGTCTGGGTGCAGGGTGCGTGCCTCGCCACCCACCCCACACCCCCCTGCCCCCCTTGCATCGCAGCTTTGGCAGTACCCCTGGAGCCCGCCAGGCACTGTCCACACCTCTATCGACGCCGTTTCCTCCTCGCGGTAATGCATCGCGGGCCCCTGGGGCAGCTTCACGACCTCCAGCCGCCTGCCCCTCGCGTCGACCGCGGCCTCCAGGACCGCCAGGGCCTCGCGGGACCGTTCGTATTGCGGGTCCTCGGCATCATCTGACCAGGCCAGCACCACCACGCCTGGCCGCGCGAAGCAGGCGATGTTGTCCACGTGGCCGTTGGTGTCGGTGTCGGCGACCAGGCCGCGCGGGAGCCAGATGACGCGGGTGACCCCCAGGAACGCCATCAGCCGGGCCTCGATCTCGGCCTGGGACAGGCCGGGGTTACGGTTGGGGTGGAGCAGGCACTCCGCCGTCGTCAGCAGGGTGCTGGAATAAGAGAGGGGGGGCAGGCCGAGGTGAGAAGGGATCCAGGTGGGAATGATGAGGGAAGAAACCACCCGGGCGAGGCTTGCCCACCCCCGAGAATGGGATCCACGGAGGGACGTGCACCTCGCCCTCAGCATCCCTGTCGTAGGCGGCTGCAGCATGTACAATGCCAGGGGTGCACGACTCCGGGGATGCAGGGTCGCCAAACCAGGTACAGTCATCCGATGACTCACCCTTCGCCATCCATGTGCACGCTGCCCCCCTCCAGGATCATGGGCCCGGGGATGCAGGGGATGCCCTCCCTCTGCATGGAGATGCATCAGGAACTCGAGCACGGCACGTGGACTGGGCTGGCGATGTGCACGCCAACACGAGCACTGTGCCCTCTGCAAGGGAGCCGAAACCCAGGCTACGACACCCTCCCATCCAAACGCCTGGTCACCTCCAGAATGGCCGACGCGATCTTCACATCCTTGGAGTAGTCGCCGTACAGGCCACCCCAGGCGTTGAACTCCCAGTCGACCCCCGCCACCTCACGGCCATCAGCACCCTCCCGCACCAGGAACTGCGTGGAATGGGAGATGGCGTGGCAGGGTTTGTATGCAGCCATCACTCATTCGATGGAGTGTGGGCCGCAAACTGGAGTGCCTTGGAAGAGGTGGGGGTTGGGTGCTTTGGGCACAATGAGGTTTCCATCAGCATATCACAGTCAACGAGTCCTTGTTTCTCTGCTGCTCTGATACATGCGCGCAGCGGTCAATGCCATGGGCCATATTCTCCACACTCACCAGTGGGCCGGTGTCTCGGAACCACGAATCGTCCTGTGGGATGCCGACCACCTCCACCTCTGGGGGGAGGGCTGCACGGGCCTGAGAGACCAGCTCCGGATCCGCGCCGACAGTAACCGGCTCGAAGCGGGATATGGCCTTGGCCACATCCACAAATGCTTGCTGGCCCGGTCTGAATGCACAAGGGCGGAAATCGGGGTGGGAGGCTGCTGATCAGGGAGAGTCTGTCCAACAGTGAACCCGGTTGGGCCCCGGTCGGGGGCGCCCGCTCACCTTGCACCATCACGCCAATTATCGGGCCGACTCGGCCAGCCCATCCATGTGCGAGCATGCGGCTCCCATTCCCCTGGGAAGCGCCAGCCCTGAGCGGTGGGGCTGGGGTCAAGGGGCATTCTAACACGCGGACCAGGACAGGAAACGGAAGCAATATCCACTGGTATCACAGTTTCAGTCGAGTAAAACATACATTCTGTACAACTTAAATGTAGGCTGGATCGGTCGGGAGGCAGTGTAGCGCAGGGAAGACCTTCTGGACGCGGCCCCGCCGAGCACTCCGTGGTTGGAGTTAGGGTTCCAGGGCGGTCAGGATCAAGGGTTTGCAGGGAAGGGCACCTGAGACCCAGCGTCACGGCGATCTTCCCTACTCGCCACTGAGATTGTCATCGGATATATAGCGTTGATCTCGACTAAAGGCGGCCGAAACGCGATTTGTGAGCCACAACCTCTGCCATGGGTCGCACCGTGACGGTGGCGACCACCCAGATGACGTGCTCGTGGGATATCGAGGAGAACTTGGTACGCTTGAGAAGTCAAAATACGTTTGGAAATGGTGATCGGGCTGCCCGGGTTTTGCCTTGGCCCCCCGTCGTAAGCTTCCAAATGGCTGACCAGCTCACCGCGACCTCGCCCGACCTTGCACTCCCAGGCAAAGGCAGAACAGAACGTGCGTGCCGCCGCGGCTGCGGGCGCGAACATTATCCTCCTGCAGGTCCGGCTTGGACCTTGTTTCGGAATGCGGTTCCCGACAGGGTCATCCGCCGCCCTGTTCCATGCAATCCACTCGATGCCAAACCCACCTCTCCTGCAACACCCCAGGAGCTGTTCGAGGCCCCATACTTTTGTCAGGAGCAGCTTGCCAAGCACTATGCCCTGGCCAACCCCGTCGAGGGCAACCCCTTGATTGAGAGGTTTGCGAGACTCGCAAAGGAGCTGGGTGTGGTCCTGCCAAGTGAGTCCTTCAGGGGTGGCTGGGATGCCAATGTTTGTGGGAATGGACTGCGCGGTCTGTGCACACCCACCCTCGCAGTGATGTGCAGCCTGTCACACACATGCCCCGGAATGGCACAGCGTCGCATGTGGATCTGTGCGCCGTCCAGCGTCTTGCAAGTATTGAGCCCCTGTGCTCGGCGGCGGGGATGCACTCCAGGTTTCCTCGCTCGCCACTGGAAGTGGCACACCCAAGCAAGGACACACACCGGCACCACCACTGCATGCCCTGCAGTCAGCTTCTTTGAGAGGGCCGGGAATGCCTACTTCAACTCGCTGGTGGTCATAGATGCGGATGGGATGACAGTGGGCCTCTACCGCAAGTCCCATATTCCCGACGGCCCAGGGTGCGGGGGGTGATCAGGAGTGTGGGCTGCTGGACGCTCCTGCACACAGTCACCTCCCTTCTGTGGCTGGTGGACGCTGCGGCCCCGCAGCGCTACACTCGCTCTGGCTGCCACTGTGTCTGGGAATCGGCAGTCTCGAGTTCAGACCAAGCGATTCTTACCTTCTGCCACCGCCCAGGCCATGCCCAGGCCCCAAGCAGTCCCTTCCTTGCACCCTCCTCGCACCCTCCTCCCCTGTTCTCATCCCTGCCTATAGGTACCAGGAGAAGTTCTACTTTTCACCGGGGGACACGGGGTTCAAGCCATTTGACACCTCCTTTGGCAGAATCGGCGTCCTCATCTGCTGGGACCAGTGGTTCCCGGAGGCCGCCCGCTGCCTGGCGCTCCAGGGCGCCGAGCTCCTCTTCTACCCCACTGCGATTGGGAGCGAGCCGCCCCCCGCCCCCCCGGTCAGCAGCTACCTTCACTGGCAGCGGGTGATGGCGGGGCACTCCGGGGCTAGCATGGTCCCCGTCATCGCCGCCAACCGCATGGGCAGGGAGGTGTTTGACGCCAGTGAGATCACGTTCTACGGTGGGTCCTTCATCACTGACGAGACGGGGCGGGTCGTGGCTCAGGTGACACCGTGGAGAGGCAGGGAGGGTTCCCTTGGAAGGGTTCTGGGGGACAGGGCCCCTAGGAGTTGGCTGTGAGTCAGTGCAGGAGGATTTTACCAGTCAGCTACAGACACCATGGTCTGGAACTGAGCAGGAGTTGAGGTGTGCTGCGGGATCTGAGGGACTCCTGCTGCCTCAGTTTGCCTGATTTCAACAAAGTTGCCAGCAGGCATAATAGCAACCCATCACAACACACCCCCGCTTGCTCCCCAGGTTGGAAGTGGCTCCCTGCCCCCCAATGGCGGCCCTGACGCCTCACCGGCCAAGGAGGAAGGCTTTGTGACGGCGACCTTTGACCTAGACGAGATTCGCACGGCTCGGGCTGGGTGAGGGGATGTCGTGCGGCGACTGGGATGGGTTCTGGGCAGGTGCAGCCTGTGGTTGATGGACAGCCCAGGGTTGTGGGTCTGCCCGACTCTCGTCATGCATTATGACCTTGGGCCCCCTCTTCCAATGGGGCAGGTGGGGCATGTTCAGAGACAGGCGGCCGGAGCTGTATGGGGCAATCAGGACTATGGACGGATTTTCCCAGGCCCGGTGAATCTCCGGGTATCTGTCGTAGAAGCATACCTAACTTGCATGCTGTGCAGCATTTCACGAAATGTATCCAATGATACCGATCTGCAGTGTTCCATGGGCGCTAATCCATTACATGCCCATCTCATGCATATTCTAGGTAAAAAGCAAGAAGGTTCACGTTGTAAATGCTGCAACTCGACCTTCGACCTCTAGCGTATGATTACAGCGTCCCGCTTACCTCGCCTGGTCCTACGATTTTCGACCAATGCACGGCATTCCGGGTTGAGAAGGGTCATTCGCGAACTCCATGCTATAGTATCGGGGCATGTTTATCGCCTCCCATCCGCCATCGGGGCTGAGACGAGCAGAAGGAGCCCTGTACCCTCGTGGCGAAATGCGCATGACACGTGCCACCCTGGCACAGCGGTCAAGGCCACACCAGGAAAGTATAGCGAGAGGGAGTATGAACTGAGCTTTAATGGCCTGAGGGAGAAGGCCGAGGAGCTGAGGAAGCGGTGCCAGGATGCAGCAGAGGTGAGGTGTGTGGCCGGCATTGAGCCGCTGTGTGGGGCACAGGGAGCCAGAGGACATGCCTCCTACAACCTGGTCTATAGAAAGTTCTCCCTGCACCTTCCCCACAGCGTGCCGACATGGTGGCGCTCCAAGGCAGGATTGTAGACCTAGAGAAACAGGCCGGGGATCCGGCGCTCTGGGAGGACACCTCCAGCGCACAGACCCTGCTGCAGCGGCTGTCGGAGGCCAAGGAGACAGTGGCATCCCTTCAGGAGCTGTCCGGCATCTGTGACGACGTTGACTTGACGGTGGACCTGGCCGCCCTCGAGAAGGTGGGCCTGGTGTTGGAATGCGTTGTTGATTTTGTTGGTGTGGGCATGCAGCCCCTGTGTGGTGGGTTGATGAGTTGTCGCACCTTCCATGTTCTCCAACCTGCTCAAGCACTGGCATTGCGTAAGAAACCTTGCCACCTTTGCTCCACCATCCCTAGCATTGGCAGACTGGAAGCTCACTGCAGCACGAGGGTTTGGAAGAGGCCCAGACCCTGGCGTCAGATCTGGAGGGCCGGCTGGCAGCACTGGAGCTGCGCCAGATGCTGAACGGGCCGTACGATGACCGGGTATGCGCTCATGTGTGCGTACAGTCTTTCTGTCCGGGCGGCAATGGATCATGCAGAGTGGCCTAGATCTGTGTGCGATGCCTCGTGTCCCTGCCAGTGCACAACAAGAGTTTGAGCACACAATTGGGGGGCCGAGCGCATGGCTGCAGGCCTCCACCGTCACTCAGGGCTGCAGTCACTGACCTCCCTAGCCGGCGCGGCCACTCCCCATCCACCCTCCCCCCCCCCCCCCACTCAGGCAGCCATTCTCTCCATCCAAGCGGGAGCGGGGGGCACGGACGCACAGGACTGGGCGTCCATGTTGGAACGGATGTACACCCGTTGGGCGGAGCGGCGTGGAATGACCTGGCGCGCCCTCTACCGCTCGCCGGGCGAAGAGGCCGGCATCAAGTGCGTCGAGCTGGAGGTGCGATGGGCGGTGGCGAACGGTCTTTTTGGGGTGGGTGGGTTGGGCAAGTGCATGAGGTTCCCAATGGCCTCCGGGGGCCCCCATGCTGGCAGGTTGATGATCACCGCTCCTTCCCTCTTCCCAATGATGCTTGCATTCATAGGTATCCCCTCCTTGCATACAAACAGGTCACGGGGCCTTGGGCCTTTGGCTGGCTGGCCGGGGAGAAGGGGACCCACCGCCTGGTCCGGCAGTCGCCCTTCAACGCCAAGGCCGCGCGGCAGACCTCCTTTGCCGCCGTGGAGGTGATGCCGGTGCTGGAGGACCTGGCGGCCAGCGTGGAGGTGCCGGAGACGGAGGTGGAGGTGTCTACCATGCGTGCTGGCGGGGCGGGGGGGCAGAATGTGAACAAGGTGGAAACCGCGGTGCGGATCGTGCACCTGCCCACCGGCATCGCGGTGCGATGCCAGGTGGAGCGAACGCAGGTGTGCAAGGAGCTCCGCAGGGGGGAAGAGGAGACACTGGCCGTTCAGCATTGAATGTGTGGAGTGGAGCAGTGTGTGCGTGGAGAGGAGCAGTGTGGGGGAGCCGGCAAACACACAGATCGCCCAAATGGGTCCCACCTCGGTCCTGATGATTCCAACCATGCACTTCGCCGCACCCCATGTTGGCACGTCGGCAGCCCGAAATGCTGAAGGCAACCTCATTCCCACGAACTGCACCGTACCCAAACTCCTCCTCCCCCGCGCCCTGTGCAGGCGCTGAATAAGGCGCTGGCCTTCAAGTGGCTCAAGGCCAAGCTGCTGGTGCTGGCCCAGGAGAAACAGAGGGAAGCGGCGGCCGGCATCCGTGGCGATCACGTCAAAGCAGGTGGGCGTCGGAGGCAGGCAGGGTGGGGACAGGGGTGGGGACACTCACAGGGCTGGTGGGACGGTTGGCCAGCCATGCGGCGGACAGGGGCTCGACTGACTCTGCATTTGAAGTCCTGGGCACGCACCCCTCTTGCCACTCATCCGGCACCCCCTGGCACCCACAGAGTGGGGCCAGCAGATCCGGAACTACGTGCTGCACCCATACCGCCTGGTCAAGGATGTGCGCACGGGAAAAGAAAGCAGCGCGGTGGATGACGTGCTAGGGGGAGACCTGGACGGCTTCATGGCCGCATACCTCAACTGGGCGCAGCGGGAGGCCAGGCAGGCTTAGGCTTTGGGAAGTACGACACCCCTCGCCGATTGTGCTCTGGCGATCGTGCACTGACGCATATGAGCCGGCAGCACATGTGCTCCCTCCCCCGTCCACCGGCGGGGATGGCGGCTTTGATGGCATCGACTCTTCTCATGGGTGATTACAAGACAATTACAAGCCATGCCCCCATGAGAAGGTTTCAGCATGGCGCAAAATACGTAATCACTCCTGCAGCGAAAAGAGTGTGCAGATGTCATGGGACAGGCTGTGAGACTGTAGTTCCTGCAAGGCGGAGCGATCTAGCAGTTGCAGGTATACTTCATCCCTCCCACCTCAGACCAGGCCCTCCCCCTTGCTAGCTGGGGACAAAGGGGCCCCGCTCCTCAGACCTAGGCGGTCCAGGGAGCGGGCCAGGGTGGAGGCGTCAGTGCTCCTGGCAGGCGCAGCAGCCGCAGCGGTGCCGATGGCCTGGGTCAGGGCGGCCTGCAGGCGCTCCAGGGCTCCGGGCAGGACCGCCGACAGGGTGCTCGCAAACTCCTCGGCGCCTCTTGCCGCATACAGGCCGTCTTGCAAGCCCTGCTGGGCCTCGGCCAGCTGCTGCCGGCTGGCCACCACCAGCGGGAGGGACGCCCGGATGTGCTCCTGACGATCATGGAGGTCAGGCATGAATATGCTTGCCCTTCCTGCCCCATTCCGGAGGTGGATCCGCGATCACGGGTTTGCGATCTGACCAATGAACACAAGCTTGCCAGGAACGCACTCTTCATGCTCCCCCGCTCACCCTGACGTAGTAGAGGCCCAGCGTGGGGGTGTTTGCCACCTCAGTGGCAGTGTGCTGGATGGTGACGAGCGCTCGTCTCACTGCGATCGGGGACGACCAAGCGCGGCTGAGCGCAATCAGATGCCGAGGAGCTAGATGTCCATGCAAAACTTCCGTGCACCCCCTACCTTCTGCCTCCGCGAACTCGACAGCAGGGTTGGCCATAGGCACTCATAAACTCTCTGGAACCATGCTGGACCAGATCAGAGCGTGTCGACATAACAGACGGCAAAAATCGTTTGCAGCACCAATGCGCATGCTTTGTCGGGGTGCAGAATATGCGCGATGGGTGATCATCGCGCCTCAAAAAGTCCCATGTGCCCTCCCAAGCTAATGCCTCTTCCCCACACTTACATTCGCGCCGGGCAGCTTACATCTTTTAATGAAAGATATGAGTGCAAAAATGGATAAGAAGACGCACAGTGATACCGAGAACGGGCCAGAAAATCGATGATGAAATGGTACATGAGTGTCTTGAGGAAGATGGCCCCTCAAACTGGGGCAACAAATCCATTCATACAAGCACAGGGTTGCAAGATTGCTCCTGGATTCATGTCGGCGGTCTCTCGTCCAGCAGTCAGTGCTCGGTATAAAGTTTCTGCGTACGCCAGGTCCCTCAAGACTCCTCGTGCCCCAAGTGCTGGATGGGGGGCAGCACATTCTTGAAGGGCGCCGCCCGCCGCGCCTCAAGTGGCCCGGCCTCGACCCTCTCCCATGAGACGGGCTCGTCCTCCTCGGGGCCCTGCTGCAGCTCCTCATTTGCATCCACATCGTCAGGGACGTGCACGGTACGGCCCAGATCGTAGAGCCAGTCTGCGTCCATGCAGATGCTGGGCATGGCAGGGGGTCCACTGCAGCAGGGGTGAACTGGGTTGTTGAGGGATGGGAGGCAGACAGGAGGTTCTCGGTGAGCAACAAATCGGCCCCAAAACCAGCAGTCTGCGACTCATACTCCGCCCCTCTGCCTACCGGCGCGCGGCCTGGCGGGCCAGTTCCGCTTCCTCATCCTCAGTGGTAAACCCGGGGCTCACTGCGCCCTCGAAGGTGCACCCCGCATCGACTCCGAGCAGCCCCTCCTCGCTGTCCGACTCAGACCAGGCGTACATCTGTTCCATGGGATGGGGGTACATGGGCGTGAGCGCACAGGCTCGATGATGACTACCAAGCACTCCTGGCCAGATTTGCCAGGCCCCGCCAGGCCAGCTCCGCACCTCCGGGGTCTGTACCGGCCTTGCTGTGGCAAGGCTAGCGGTAGCCCACTCGTCAATGGAAGTCGGCTGCTCAACCATGGCGCTTGAAGCTCGACAGGGACGTGGATTGAGTGAAGCGGAAGTGCTGAGACTCGCGACAAAGGACAGTTGGCTGGCGTAAAGGACAGACAATAGTCCCGACACCGTGCGATATCGACTCCAAAAGGTCGCAACGGTGGGTCTATCTTTGACGTAACTACAGCATATCAACTGCTGGGTAATGAGGGCCTCGTGTACCCCGACCTTGCTTGCCGTTTACGTAACTATGCGTCCCTGCGTGTCAGGCCAGCTTCAGCAACGCTACAGGGTTGCTCCCCATCGGACAAACCAGTTCCCATGCCAAGCACTGTTGTCATGCGCCAGAACGAAAATTTACACAACAGGGCACATGATACAAGATGGTAACAAGTCTGGGACGGCTGAGATGAGTACTGAAAACTAGCGCGATGAGCACCTCACAGACATTTCTCACTGTCCAGTCACGGATGGGTTCTTGAAGGAGCGCTGCATGTGGCGATGCCTCTGTGCACATGCGTTCAACTCAAGCTCCGTGTCCAGGAAGAAGAATCCAAAGGCAGGGGAAGCCTGAGGAGACGGGAGGGATAGATGACAAATATTGACGCTTGGTTCAAAGGCTCCCGACAAAGGGACACCCTACACCTTCTACCCTCTCCCTTGAAGTTCTGGACACCCTTGTGATGCCTCAACCCCATCCCAAACACGTCATAGGCCTTTGCTATGCCATAGTTAGGTGTCAACCTCCATCGGGACACAGTAATCGCCCCAACTCACGATCAAGGCTGTACGTGCACTGACGCCCAGGGCCCGGCCGAATCGAGGGAACGCCTTGCAGCTCCCCAAGATCACTGTTGTGGACACCGCCAGAGCCATGGCTGCAGACTTGGCCCCCACGGCGACTGCATGCTTCACACAGTTTTCTTGGATGTCCGCTGCGAGGGCAATAGGGAAACGAATTCAGCCGGCTTTCCCATGCAGGCGTCCCCCGGGCACAGGCGTTTCTGTTTCTCACCATTCTCGGTGGACGAGTCCCTGAAGAAACGGCTCATGTCTCCCAGGTGTCTTATTGGGGTCCAAGCTGTGACTGTATGTCCAGGAGTTGGCACCTGTTGAGTCGGTAGATTAGGGGAAGCCTGAGAGGGCGCGGCGCATTTGGAAGCGTGAGGGGAGACGTCGCCAAGGAATGGAATGACGCGAGCAACCAGGTTCTCGCGCCCGGAAAATACCACAAGCGAATCAGGTGGTTTCGCTTGGCTGCTACCTGCCCTATCAAACATGCCCGCACGCCAGATCTGACATAATATCCATATCTGGTGGGCCTCGATTCCGGTGTGCCTCACCGGAGGTGGACTCGAAGTAGATGGGGCGTGCCTGAGGAACGTTGCCAAACCTCACCATGAGGTGGCTCGGGCTCATCATTGCCTGCTCCTTCATCATCATATCTTCCTGCTTCATAGCCTACAGGAGCTTCCAGGTGATGGGTGCACGACACTGGCGCGGCACCACAGCCCCTTACATCCCCCTGCCCGGAGTGAGTGCGACCCAGTGTGCCCTCCCGTGCCCCTCCAGGTCCTGCCATGGGGGATTCTGGCCACCAGTGTGACCATCTTGAGGGTACCAACAGATGAGGTGCCTCAGCTGAGCAAGGAGTTGGCCTGGGCTGCTGCCGACGGCGGCGAGATATTCGTGACCTGGGCCAACGAGCATTTTTCAGACTTTGCGGTGAACTGGGCCTTGCACCTGAAGGATGTTGGGGTGCACAACATCCTCGTCGGTGCCATGGACGTGGGCGCAGCCAAGGCAAGCAGCACTGGAGGCGGCGGGGGTGGGGCCCAGAGCTTGCGCAGCCCCCTCTGTTTTGTGGGTGACAGTGGATGGGGAGTAGCTTGCTGCCTTGACCTGGCTGACCACTCCCTGCACTCACAGTCCATCCGAGCATGCATGCGAGTACCTGGAGCAACACATGCTGCATGGCCACCCCTCTGGACTTCCCATGCTGTCGATGCTGTCCCACCCCACTCCCAAGCTTGGAGCTGCCCACCCCCCCTTCCAACCCCTGCAGACCCTGATGTCACACGACATCCCAGTGTTTGCCATGTACGAGAGGAATGCCAACAGCACTGGCCTGACCAAAGGTGTGTGGGGCTTGGCGTTCTGGCTATCCAGTTTCTGGCCGTGCATCTTTGGGCGTGTTCCACTTCACTGCTGATCGCTCCCCCTCCCCTTCACCCCCCCTTTCCCAAAAGCGTAGCCCTCCATACAGTCACACACACCGACACCCTCTTCACCTCTCCTCCATCGCAACCGCAGGCGACTTTGGCTGGGGCTCCCCCTCCTTCACCAAGATGGGCAGGCAGAAGGTGGACCTGGCGCACACCTTCCTGTCCTACGGCCTGAACATCACCCTGGCCGACTCGGACGCGGTGTTCGTGGCGGACCCTCGCGCCTTCTTCGCGAGCCACCCCCGCGCCGACGTGCTGGCGCACACCGACAAGCTCAACTCGGGGCTGCCCGTTGGCGACGCGGGGCTGGAGGAGGCCGGCGCCATCCACGCCGTGGCCAACATCGGCCTCCTGGTCTTCCGTGCACGACCGCAGACGCTGGCCTTCGTGGCCGCCTGGCGCGAGGGCCTGAACCAGGACCCCAAGGCCTGGGACCAGACCCTGTTCAACCAGCTGCTGCACATTGGGCGCATGACGCCCGAGCCGGCGCCCTCCCGCCTCACCCGTGCCTGGGACGACGCGCTGCTGGTGGGCATCCTGCCCACCGCCAGCTACTCCTCGGGCCATGTGGCCTATGTCTCGGGGCTGGCGGCGCAGAAGAAGCTGACCCAGGTGAGTGGATGCTGGTGCGGAAAGGAAGGAGCGGTGGCAGGGGGGCGGGGACGCGATTGGCAGCGAGGGGCGCGCCGGGGCGGCGGCCACCTGCCATGGAGCCTCCCCTGCATTTCTTTTCATCGCTGCTGGACACCGTTCATGGCCCCTGCTACCCCGCTGTGCCTTGTCGCCATCTGGGTCACATCAGCACAACTGCACACCCACAACCACACCAAGACACTCACATGCGCACACGCGCGTGCGCACCCACACCCGCACCCACACCCACTCACTCACTTGACGCCCTGTGTCAGGTGATGGTGCACACCACCTTCCAGTACGGCGGCACGCCCGGCAAGCGCAACCGCCTGCGGGAGGGCATGCTGTGGTACGACCCACCCGCCTACTACGCCGGCCCCCGCTTCCTCTCCATCGACATGCAGTACCCAGCGATCCCACCCGGCATCCAGACCATGGGCGAGGAGGGCATGCATGCCGTGCAGCTCGCCCACCTGCAGGGCATGCTGCAGCAGATGCTGCAGATCAGGGCTGGCATGGCCATGGCTGTGGTGCTCAACCGCACCTTCATCATGCCCAAGGTGCGTGTGCGACGGTGGTGATGTTTGCGCTTTACTTATGCGAGGGAGAATGGGATGGGAAAGGGAAGGAAGGCGGCGGGGGAGGGGGAGGGGTTTCAGCAATGAGATGGGGCCGAGAAGCAAGGCACGTGGCGGAAGGGTGCACAGGGGAGAGCCTGCTGTTTTCCTGCCCTGCAGCAACCCTCATGCCCTGTCACCCGCACACCAGGGCTGGAGGTCGCAAAGCGTGACCTCCAGGCCCCCTGTTCTGCTGACAGTGCATGCATGCAATGCCAGCACCCCTAGAGGGTTCACAGCCCAGTACCTGAAGTGTCCCCTGACCTCTCCCTACGTAACCCCCCTATTGGCACTCATGCAGCTGATGTGCCTGTGCGATCGGTACTGGGCGCCCCTGGACAGGTGCCGCATCCCAGGGGCAGAGGCCGTCCCCCTGCCCTTCACCTGTCCCATGGACCACGTGTTCGAGCCGGGGAACCTGGAGCAACGCATGGAGGGCGGCGAGCCCCTGGTCCCCTTCCGCGAGTACTCCTTCCTGGGCAACCCCCGCACGCCCGCCGTCGTCAAGGTGGGGCCCCCTGGGCCCGGGGTTGGCAGGGTTGCAGCTGGCGCACATGGGAAGAGGAAGGGGTCTGCGGGGCCCAGCATACTTTCACTGCCTGGGTGTAGTGTGTTGCCAAGTGGGGTGCTGAGTTATGAACATGGCCTGGTCGAACATGTGAACCTCTAGCATGGGATGGCCACGGCACATCCCGCAAGGCACCAGCTGGATGACTTGCCACTTCCTGCTGGCCGCTGCCTGGTGGATCACGAATTGGGCCCACAGCTACCGAAAGCGGCATCGCTGCGGGGTCCCAACACCGCTCGCTGGCTCTCCCACCGCGCAAGTGAACTTGCTCGAGACCTCCTCCCATGCCAATCCTTCCCCCCCAAATCCACTATCCCCCTCCCAGGATGATGTCGTGGTCCTGGAATTAGCGAGTGCTGCGGTGAACTCCCCGGAAGGCAGTTCCCCACTCGCCAGGAGCCGGGCCACCCTTCGTCTGCCTGCCAACTCCACAAACCTGGGGCTGCAGGCGGCGCTGGCAGCGCACGAGGCCACGCACCGCATCCACGTGACGGACCCGCTGGCCTTGTGGGGGGGCTGGGAGGAGCAGGGGGCCAACGCGAGGATGGCCAGCCGCTTCCTGCGCTCCCTGGGGTTCTGGTGCTGCCGTAAGGTGCCGCATGGGCAGGACGGCGGGATGGGCTACGCCGACCTCCTCCTAAACACCCAGAAGGCCCTGCAGCGCTTCCAGCGGCTCTGAGCAGCTTCCACCGCTACGTGATGTGCACGCACGTGTAAACCGCAACCATCGGGAAGGAGAGGCGGGGAGTGCCCCATCAATACATTGGGACAGGGAACGGGGAGGGCGCGCGCGCGGGCGCGTTCAAAGGAATCGGACCGGGTATCTAAATCAAGCCCTCAGGGGCGAAGCTGAGCTGGGTCATGCTAGGCCTCGTCTCCGAGCCAGCTTGTGACGACACCAAAAGACCGTGGTCGTATCTCGTCCTGCCTCTTCCTCGCATGTGTGGGTACGGGGCGTCATCGGGGTGAGGGCCGACCCGGCCGATGTCCGTGCAAGGGTTGCTGGCGCACATCAAAGCCATGCGGCGCAACCACCTGATCATCGTTCTCGTCACCAGCGCCGTTTTATACGGGAATGGGGTGCTCATATCGGACAAGGTGTGCATGGGCCAGCTCCTCACGGGCCGTGTAACCGGGCTAGGACCCCCCCCTTCCTACGCACCCATCACCATCCGGACCCGGATTCCCCTCCGCCCCACGCAGTACCTGGGCTGGAAGTCACCTAAGATAGCGTATGAGCCGGCATGCGGACCACAGCTGGTGCCGCAGCTTAACCGGGAGCTGGCCCACGCAGCAGCTCAGGGCGGCGAAATCTTTGTGACCTGGGCCAGCCAGGTCTATGCGGACTTTGCGGTCAACTGGGCCAGGAGTCTGCAAAGGGTGAACGCAACAAATTTCCTCGTGGGAGCGCTGGACGAGAAGGCAGCCCAGGTGAGGGAGGAGGCTGAGTGCGAGGGTGGGAAGGGGATGTGGGGCGGCAAAGACGGCGATGATCATGCCGGGGCCCTCTGGGGCCCAGTCATCACTGGGAGAGGGGTGGGAAGGAGCTTTCAAGGGGTTTGAACCTCGTCCCTGCCGGCGCCGCGGCAGTGTGTGCAACACTGCAAGTCGGGCACCTGCCTTTTTCAAATGCGTCCTGGCGTGAGGCCACCCCAGGGGCCAGCGAACAGCCCCTCTGCACAGCCCCTGGCGCTTCCCAGCACCGCCTTGTGCTCCAGTGGAGCCACCACACCCCCTCCCACCTCCCTCGCAGGCCCTCCTGGATGCACAGCTGCCTGTGTTTTCCATGTACAACCTGGACATGAATGGCTCAGTCATGGCTGCAGGTAAAGGGGCAGGGCTGTTGTCAAGCCGAGTGGGCGGCAGGTCCACCCTTTCAACGCTGCTTCCTCCCCCGACCACCATCTTCACACATCCTCAAGCTCTGCAATTTGATCAGGATGCTGTCGTCCAGCAGCCAGGGCTCGCCCTGGCATGCCCCGCCCTGCCTCAAGACTGCTTTGTCGCCCCCCCCCCGTCCTCAGGCTCCACTGACTGACCATTCCCCCCCACCCAAAAACACATCCCCCATATTCCCCTGCCCAGGGGGAAGCAAGGCGTGCGAACAGGACTTCCACAACAGCACCGCCTGCCAACGGATCGGGCTGGCCCGCGCCTTCCTCTCCTACGGCCTGGACGTGACGCTGTCCGACGCCGACTGGGCGTTTGCCGAGGACCCACGCCCCTTCTTCTCCCGCCAGCCCCCCGCCGACCTGCTGGCCGCCGGCGCGGCGCTGGTCAACTCCACCGCCGACGGCGACGGCGGGCTGGAGCTGGCCGCCAGCCTGGCGGCCGGCACCGACGACGGCCTGCTCCTGCTCCGTGCCGCGCCCGCCATGCTCTCCTTCCTCCAGGCATGGGCGCGCGCGCTGCCGGGCCGCAATGGTCAGGCCGCCCTGGAGTCGGCGCTGCGCGAGGGCGTGGGCGCCACGCCTGCCCTCTGGCCGGGCCAGGACCGGCTGGCCTACGCATGGGGTGGGCGCTTGGTGCTGGGCGTGCTGCCCGTGGCCCGCTTCGGCTCGCACACGGCCTCGGTCCAGGGCCTGGCGGGCCTGATGCACGTGACCCAAGTGCGCTGCGGGGGTCGTGGGCGCGTGGCGTGGATTGTATCTGGAGGGATGGTGGTGGGAGGGGATGCCCGGGTACAGTGGGGGGGATTGCGGGGGAGTGGAGGAATGGAGGGTGGGAAGGGAACAGGCGCGGTCTGTTAGGGACTCATCAGACCAACCACTGGGTAACAATGCGATGGACCAGCCTGGTCCAGTGCTATCGCGAGGAGAGTCCCTGCACTGCAAGGGCCTGGTCGGGGTCCAGGCAGAAAGAATCTCCCGAGCCCCCACCGTGACCCCTTCTGTTGCCCTCCCTTTCATTCTCACTGCCAGGTGGCGGTGCACGCCAGCCACCAGTCTGACGGACTGGTGGGCAAGCGGCACCGTCTGCGGGAGGCCATGCTGTGGGAGGATGCGCCGGAGTACTACACCGAGCCGCGCCTCCTGTCCATGGACCTCAAGCCGCCGAGCGTGCCGGAGAAGCTGAGCCTGGGGGTCATGGACGAGGGGGGGCAGACGGCGCTGCAGATGGCGCACAAGCGGGGCCTTCAGTTCCAGCTGCAGCAGGTCAGGGCCGGCATGGCCCTGGCCGTGGCACTCAACCGCACCTTCCTCATGCCCAGGGTAGGCCCTTTTGAAAGGGGAGATGGACGGGGGGGGGCCGGGGGGGGGGGGCAGATGGGCTTGTCTGTGTGG